AGAATGTATGCAATGTGTTAATTATTGAAACTGTCCTACCAATTTGGTTTGAAACTGTCTCATTGCTATTTGTTTCTCAATAAAATTATGGAAAATAATAAGTATTGTGTAGATGATTTGATAATTAACTCACAATGCCCCATAGAACAACTTTGCTTTTATCCTATTGGGAATCCCTTGGAAGCATTAAGGGAATTTCAAAACTTTTTAAGGAATGCATTTCAAATAGATGAAATAAATGCTATCTTCCTCCAATTCGAAGTTTCCATGAAAAATTGGTACAAAGAATACACTCCTCTTTGCATACATCATATGCTACTTTTAGAAAATGGGAATATTTCTAGTTTTCCAATCTTTTATAGGAATTGACTGCAAATTTTTCCCTGATTGTCTTTATTATAGCTTTAAAATGTGTCTTAGATAAATAGGTACTTTATTAATATAATCAATTTTTTAAAAAACGAGCAACGTTTCTGAATACAAAAATGTGAAGTACATATTTCATACCTTTATCTGCATTATTCGTAAGAAAATTGTTCAGAAGTTGAAAAATAAAGTAATAAAAAAGAAAATAAAAATTGAAGTAATGAAAATCAACAAATTTTAATGGATTCAAATTTTATTTTATAATGTGAAATTTGTCTTAACAGAGACACTACTACATTAGCAAATCTCACTTGTAAATTTTCAGAATGGAAAATTTTTAGTTTTGTGTTGTATGTTTTAATGCAATCAAATATCTTAGTTTTATGGAATAACAACAATATGGGCTAACATCGCTAAAGGTAATTTCTGTGTTTTCCTTGTTTCTCCATGGCTGTCACAAAAGTGTTCAGAAAAAATTACACAACTTAGTATCTCATGCATTAATATCCATTGCGAGCACTAAATTTAGGAATAATGCAGACTGTTGCTGTTAGAGTTTTTAAGAAAATTAAATATTTTTTAAGGGCAAAAATTTCTTATGATTCTTAATTTTTAATATCATTTTTAACCTGTGCTTGGCATTGTTCTCTGTGAGTATATCTAAACAAATAAATGCTCTGAAGCTCATTTGTAGTTAATGAAGACAAATTTCTCATAGTTGTTATTTAGGCTGATCTTTAATTAAAAAACTATGTTTTAAGATTAGATAAAACCCTATTTTTCTGATGTTTTCTCAGAGTTAAAATACTTAGTTGTCTAAATATTTAGAGGTATGATTATGCAATTACAAAACTTTATTACACATAGAAATACCATAACTGTAATCCTTCATGCATTTGTTTCTTTTCAACGTATTGAAATTATATGTATATAT